GAAATGAAGTAAAAAAACGAAAAAAAAAAGGAAGAAAAGGAAAAAAAAAAATGATACCAAATCCAATTTCTTTCCATGCAGATGACTACGCTGCTTCCTTTTATCATGTAGGGGGGGGTAGTCTCTCCTAAACTGATGCCAAGTATGTATCCACACCTCGGCAAAAGTGCATTGCATCCCACTGGGGGAACTCCCTCACAGGTGAGAATCGGCGAAGAGAATAACAATGTGGCGATGCGCACCCGCTAAACGTATATGTTTGCAAAATTGAGCTCCATTAAGTGGCTGACATCGTGCTGCGCCTTGGAGAGGGAAATCTTCGAGTCGTCGGGGAAAATAAAAAGTTCCCTCTGGAGGGTCTTCTTGGCAAAAATCCAAGGTCCACTTGCGTCTTTGTAAAATATTTTCTCAATTATTACATCATCACTAGTATCTTCAAAGAGCTTCCTCTGTAATTCCTCGTTGTAGACTAATTTGAGTTTTTTTTTTTTCTCCCCCTCTGGAGGATTACCACCTGCTGCGGGGTGCGCTCTTTCTGTTTCGCTTGTAATAGGCTGGCACTTTTTTAAGCTATCCTTTTCGACAGGGTGGTCATTCCTTTCGCCTTTTTGCTCAATGGTTAGAGGGCCACTATTAAGGGCATGATCGCCGCTTACTTGTGGATTCTCCATGAGGAGGGATGCTGTCACCTGTTGATTGTCCACGTCATTGATGTTCCCCCCTTTACCATCCTGTGCATGATGCCCACAATGTGAAGGGGAACTTTCCGTTTGATTTTCCCCCCTTAGAGTTTCTTTTGCGAAGGAAGCCTTCCCAGTCAGTTTATTACTACCCCCCTCTAGCGGCAGCCCATCTTTCGAGGCATCTTTATAAATGCACTGATTCTCAAAATTGAAGAGTTCCTTTGATAAATGTTCCTTTTCCTTTGCCATGGCAGACCCCCTCTTGTTTAACTTTATTTTGTTTTTCTTAATTTCTGAATCGAGCAGTAGGAAGTGGAAATCGGCAACTAGGAAAAGATCCTCATGATTTATTTTCTTGTTGTTAATAGAGTACTTAATGGAATTGCTAAAATTGTTGTAATATAAGTATCTGACTGGGTCATCCTGATTTAGGTACTTTTTAAACTGCAGGGAGAGGATCTCGTTCAGCTTGGACAAGCTGTATATGCTACTGGAGTTTTCATTCGTGCATTTGTTTTGCACATCGATTAAAATGTCAAAGTCTTCATCCCTAATGGTGCTCCCCTTGATGAGCAGTACGAGGAGGATACCTTTGTAGACCAATGCCATGAGTTTGTACTTCTTCTCTGCACCGAGGGTCACCACTGGCATGAAGATTGAAGATCTGGGAGGAAGCGGGGGGTGGGGGCGAAGTGGAGGTTATTGTGAAGAGGAGGTTGCTGTGAAGAGGAGGGTGCTCTGCGCATGGGCTGTCGACGTGTAAACAGTTAGAGCGCATTCACAAGTTCATAGTGGGGAGAATGAATCCACTCCTCTCACGAGCACACTTCGTGGCAAGGGGGGGAGCTAAGCTATTTTGCCCTGAGAAGAATGGGCCTTACTTCTTGATCCCCAGGAGAAAGGCATTTTTCTCGTCGAGTGTATTGCACCGGGCAAAGCTGGACAAGCCTCCATTTGCCTGAGAGGCAGAGAGAGGGGGAGGAAAAAAAAAGGGGGGTATAACTTGAGGAGCCAGGGGGTAACGCGGAAAATAGGGTTGGCTCGATTGGTCCGATTAGCCTCCTGACATGCTTCATGTACTGAAGGGGCTTCCCCACAGGAGGGCCAATTCAACAACGTGAACACCTCCACTTACGTTGATGGCAGCGGAAGATGCAATTTTCCTAAACGGGTGCTGATTTAACTTTAAATTGTTTACCTAAGGTGTAAGGGAAGAAAGGGGAGGGAAAAAAAAAAAAGTGTACCCAAGTTCATGATATGTACATCTGAGCGCATTATAAACACGTGCATCTTTATGTGCGACGAGGGAATGGGCTCCACACATAGAGAAACCCTTTCCTTTAGGTCCCTTTTTTGTGCACTCTAACCGTTCCCCCGTAGGACACCAAATAATTGTATATCATCTTTGTGTCGCTCATTTCAAGGCTCGAGTATATCAAGTGCCCTTCGTAAAGTAGGCATCCATGCTTTATTTGCTTATGTCCTAGTATAAGTGACGAAATGAGGTTCTGCACGGAAAAAAAGGAAAAAAAAGGGGAAACAAATAGGGAAGAGGTGAGAAACGCCTCGACCAGCTTACATCACATTTTCATGAAATAGTAGGGGGAGATGCGCTCATGGTGGGAAACCCATTTTTACCTGCACAGTAACGTAGGTATGCTTTTCCACTGGGAAGAAATGAAAGCTTTGTAGGCCTACAGGGGAGCATTTTACGCACACCGTGTAGTGGCAGTCATGTGAGAGACACCAAACCGTTTCAACGAGAAGAATGAAGGGCAGAAGGGGGGTGTTTCTCCGCAATTTTCGCAGCAAATCCCACCGCAAAATCGCTTGTCAACCGTGCGTGTAACATGCACAAGCACTTGATGGGAAAGAGTGCCGTGGGGAGGCGTCGTAGCGGTGATAAACCATTCTTACCGTCGTGAATGCTGACACACTGATTGTTAATTGTGTTTACGTATGTAAAGACATAGTCATCCAAGAGCGTCTGGAGGCTCGTTTTTCTGTTCATATTTCCTGCACAAATTTTGTGAAACGAGATAAATTAGAATGGGTAAGTTATGTGACCATATAAATGTGTGTATCGTAGTAGCAGTGGAGGAGAAGAAGAAGAAGAACAACACACCTCTGTCATGTGCTATTGCACGAAGAGAGGGTTACTCTTTTTTTACTCCGTTCAGTGCACTTTTGGATCGCGTTTTCCTATGCGACCCCCTCGACTGTGCATATAAATGTGCCGGTTAAATCACCACATGGTGAGTGCAGCGGAGGAGATGATGGGTGTAACCCCTCCACTGCGTGGTGACATAAAAAAAAGGGGGGGAGACTCCCCACGAACTGTGGAAAGATAAATCCATCCTGTATATTCCTTCCCTCCAGGTTGTCTCACCTGTTGTTTTGCTCTTCTTATACTTCAGGAAGGTTCGAATGTGTCCGTGGAGCAGTGTGAAGGTGGAGATGAAGTTGTCCAAAACTGAGTGCAGCAACTTGCACATGAGGAGTTCCATTTTATCATTTTTGTAAACATTCTTCACGAAGACCGTTACGAATATATGTTTGTACCATTTGTGGATGACGATTAAATTTTCTTTTGTTATTATATGGTCCATGTGTGATTTGCTGAACTGGGAGAGGAAGGCAGAGACACCTTCCATGGTGCTTGTGTGCGTTACTTTGACCTGTTCGTCTGTTTCGTTTGGGTAGTAGTAAATCACCTTCTCTGCCTTTGGGAAGGGGAGAAAAAAAAGAAGGGGGGGGATTTTGCCAAGTCGGGAAATATGCACCATTGAGTGATCAGCCTACCCGTTGCAGTGTCTTCACAATGATGTAGCGATGACCACGTGACTGTGGTCCCCTCTCTCCCCTTTTCACTCGCACTGCTCGAATTAGGTATGAGCAAATGGAAAAGAGGTGAGACGGGCAAATGAAAGGACGTGGGACGGTTTCCCGGGGAGCTTCCACCAAACGACTTGAGCATAACGTTAAGGTGCACTTACCTGTAGCTCCTCATCTGTAACGGACTTGTCGGCCTTTTTTACGTCCTCATCGTAGATGAAGAGGGCCTCTATTTTTGTTTTTTCCATTTTCTCTTGGAGTATTGCGTATGGGGGGAAAGGAGATTCCGTTTCCCAGCTGGGCGGAACGGGCAATCTGGCTACGCGTTCACGTTTGGCCTTATACAACGGTATTGTTCTTACTTTCGCCTTTTTCCCACTTGGGCTGTTGCGCCGATTTGGCGTTTTTCGAGCGCTGAGGTTTTTTTTTCCACGTAATGGGGGTGGTGAGTTGCTAATCTCATTGAAGGTTAACCTAAGTTACCCACCGCTTTGCCTTTGTGGCTTTGGAGCAGGCCCTCCCTACGCATCCTTTAAACACCCCTGCGCGGAGACCCAACATGTTCCTTCTCCAAGCCAAGCGGGAAGGCTAATCATTCCAAAGATGAGAAAAAGAAAAAATCGCAACTGTTTCAGACTTGCTTCCTCAAATGGGGTTAGCATACAAATGTTAAAAAAAGGGGGGAAAAAATAACATATATTTTGTTTTCCAAATTGTTAATGAACATTCTAATGTTCGTCGAAATTGGAAAAAAAAGAAAAAAAAGAAAAAAAAAATTCAGAATATACAAATGATCAAAAAAATACACAACTTTACGATAAAAAAAAAGAGTTTGAGGCTTTGTTTTTCCACTTGGAAAGATTTACGGGGGAAGGCAAGTTCAGAGTTGACATTAAGTAGTTAGGAGTCGGCATTAAGCAGTTAGGAGTCGGCAGTAATTAGTTGCCATTTGGCTGGGGCCAGTTATCAGTCAGCACTTTACGTGCGAGTCTTTTCCGCAGGGGGAAGCGCAAAAGGGAGATTTTTTTAAAAAGAAAGGTTATATAACAAGAGAAGGGGAGGTTAAAATCAGAGGGGAAAAGAAGATAAGAGTTAACCCCCAGGGTGAGTGTGGTTCGGTTAGAACGTGTTAGGGAGGAAATTATGTTTATGCACGTAAGATCTATACACACATATGCCGTACCTCCGATACCTCGGTGCGACGGGGGGAGTGCAGCATATATATGGGAAGAGTTTGTGAACGAGATGATGGGGGGAAAGAACGTGGGAGAGGGCACAACAATAAATATATATATGGGGTGAATAAACGAATATATAATACTTATCGTATGTATATATGTGTATGTAGGTATATCTATGTATATATATGTACATCATGTACTGATGGGCGTGAGGGAAGGGAAAGCAACAAAAAGGAAACAAAAAAAGGAAGGAGTATAGTCACAGTGTGTGTGTATGTATGTATGAGCGTGTGTCGGTGTAGGTGTAGGGGGGAGGAGAAGAAGAAGAACAAGAAGAAGCATTTGGAAAAGTTTACAAGCGGTCTGACGTAGATCCTCGTTTAAGAAAGTTCACCATTCGAAATGGTTGATTCGGTGGAAGAAGTTTTCTTTTAATTATTAAAAAGGAAGGCGGTGAAATAGTAAGTACCATCTGAGGTGAGTCTTACCCATTGGGGTGCCCACCCTCCTCTCAGGGGTAATACAAATTCTTCTTCGTCTTCGTTTCTGGGTCTGCAAGATCAACAACCACCTGCAAAGGGGGGGGGAACGCCAGGAGGGTGTATTACCCAATTGTTTACTACACAGGTACGTACTAAAGGGGTATGTAGACGTATGTACACATATGCACACGCAAGACAGGTCAGCTAAGCAAACCCCGTCGAGCCTTAAAAGGGAGAAATGGCGTATAATGCCCAAACGGTATCGTAAAAAAAAGAAAGAAAAAAAAAATCCGTTTCTTACCTCCTTCCCATCAATTATATGCTTTGAGTTCTTGTTCGACAGAATTTTCTTCACGCATTCGTTGTCCAGGAAGGTAACAAAGGCGATACCGCGGGGTCTGTTTGTGCACACGTCGTTGGGCATGTAAATGTCGATGATCTCGCCGAAGGTTTCGAAGTAATTCCTCAGCGATTCGGTCGTGGTGACGCTATCTGGAAGGTGGAAGAAAAAAAAAAAAAAAAAAAAAAAACATTTGTCAGATGAGTACCAGTGTGTGAAAAGTGCATTGTGCAGCATGCAGCAATCCGTGTGGGGTCCTCCGCGACTTACTCAACTTGGTGACGAACAGCTTGTATCCTCGTTTGTTCCACTCGTCTCCGCCTGGTAACTTTCGCACAACTGCAGAGGGGGGGGTTCGGTTCAAATGGGTGTCACAAGCGTGTGCAGAGGTATATATATGTACATGTAACACGTGGGGGAGGTGGTGCCGCTCCCTCCTCCATGAGACAAATGGCGCACACCAATTTGAGCCGCTTCTCCTGAGAAATCTTTGCGTCTTCTAGAAGCGACTTACATGGGTGACCGGAGGGACGGTAGCTCCCGCTTGGGACGACACTCTGGGGGTACTTCGAGATGCTCTCCTCGCTTGCGCTACTTTTTCGTGGCGATTTGCCTTTGGCAATTGGGGGGAGGGCGTCTGAAAAAGAAAAAAATAAAATGAAAAACAAAATAGAAAATAAAAGAAAAAAAAGTGTAAAAAAAGGTGTAAAAAAAGGTGTAAAAAAAAGTGTAAAAAAAGGTGTAAAAAAGTGTAAAAAAGTGTAAAAAATAAAAGCGTAGGCCGCAACCGAGATGTCCCACTTAAGCATGGGCTTACTCTGATTCATGTACTGGCCGTTACAAAGGTAGTAGGGGTATTCCATCTGCTTCGCGTTTGCGTTGTACATATTCTCATTATGTAACATCATATTGTTCCAGTTGTAATAATTGGCCATATTCCAGTAGTACTCATTGCCCATATAGTCCAGACAGTTCTGGTAGGGCATTTGCTGATTGTTGAAATATGCGGGGTCCATATTGTAACCCGTGGGGGGTAAGAAGGACATAGACATATTGTTCTTGTAAATGTGTTTATTGTTGTTCATTCGATTGCCTAGTATGTTGTACGTTGGGCATAGATTGTAAAAGTTTTGCATGACTAAATTGTTGTCAATATTTTTGGACATGTCTCCTATGTTCGCTGTTCTATTATACATATATTGGTAGTTGTTGAAATCGACTAGATTGTTGTGCGCCCTGGTGGGGGAGTTCCTGTCGTTCTTCGGGTATTTGGCTAGGTAGTGGTCCGACGGCAGGTCTGCGGGGGGGAGCGGCAGGTTGGGCGGCATGTGGAGAGGCAGGTTGAGACGCGGAACTGACAAGCGATTGGAAACACGCGATTGGCAACATGCGATTATCGGAGCACAACTAGCACGCTGCATGACACACGCCGCGTAACAGTCGCCGCTTCGCGCTTGTCCTCTTACGGAAAAGGTGTCTGCTTCTGTTGTCCCTCAGGGAAGCGACGTCCACGACGATTTCCTTGCCGCAGATGATGTGCAGCTTGTCCGTCAGGACCTACGGAAAAGGGGGAAGCGGCGGGTGATTGGGAAGCACGCACTCATAGGTGACGGAGTATGCATCAGTGCATGACAGCTATGCGTGGCGGTGTTGGTAGTAGTAGTAGTATTGGCGACGTGTGTGTGTTGGGGGGATACTCCACTGGTGAAAAATCTTCCCTACAAGCAGCACTATGGACTTTCTCCAGAACTCACCTTATCCATGGAGCTCTGCTTTTCGAACGACACAAATCCAAACCCCTTGTTTTTGTTATTCGACAAATTCTTGGATACATAAATGTCTACTATTGTCCCATATTTGGAGAAGTACTTTTCTAGGTCCTTTTTGCCAGCTTCGAAGGGAAGTCTAGTTACGAAAATGCGTGGGTATCCTTTTAGGGCCTGTACGAGGGGGGGGTGAAATGGGGATGAGAAATGGGGTCAACCCTTTTTGCCATTCACTTTCCCTTCTCTATGCACGTTCTGATCAGATCAGTGTAATTTGTTCAGGGCCCCTCCGAGGTACATGGGGGGGTACAATTCCCATGGTATGTCACACGGTAGACGACTGAATAAAATTACCTCATCTGCAAAAATGGCGTGGTTCTCCTGGGAGCCATATCTCCTTTTCTCCCTTCCATCATCTCTGCTATTCCTGTCAAACAACGCAGTGGTGCTGTTATGACTAGATTTTTCCTTTGAAGCTACGTCTGCCTCATCGGACGAGTCGGAAGCAATGGAAGGAGCATTATCTGCATCTGTTTTTTTTTTCTTCTTCTCCTCATTTTGCTTTAACGAATGCATTTTTCTCTTGATTCTGCTGTCAATTTCACTTTTTCCTTTGTTTATATTACTGGCATCATCACTGTGGTTGCTATGTTCATTTAATTCTCGCTTGCCCATTTCGTTTTTATCACTTGACTTAAAGCTTCCTGTCTTCATCTTCCTTTCAGCGAGGAAGGTTTCTTCTTCCCTTTGTAGAATGAGACTATGTTGATCTTCGTCAACCTCCTTGGAACTGCTGTTCGTGGCATCGTCGTCCAATTGGCGGTCTTTCATGGTGCTTTTGCTTATCTTTGCAGTGTGTTCCTGAGAGGGGGTAACGAGAAGCATCAGGTGAGGAGTCATTTTCCATGTTGTTCGCCACGGTGGCAGCTCCATTGTACATTTGACTACCATGCTCCGCGACATCTTTCGTTGCACTGTGGACAAGTTTTTTTTCGTCAGTGGAACTCTCAAGACTTACATCGCCAGCATTTGGTGATCTCCTTCCTTCTTTCGGTGCGTCTCGTTGTTCCGACGTGGAAACGGCTTTCTTCATTTTGGTTCTTTCCCCTTCCGTGTGCTTTCTCTTGGAAGCATGGTCTACTCGGTCTTCCTTCTCTTGTTTGTCTTTTTCCTTCCGTCCTTTCTTTTTTTCTTTCTCTTCTTCCTTTGGTCGTTCCACCTCTGCGAGTTTCGCTTTCGACCGAGATGTCCTTGAATCGTGGTCCCGACCACGTTCTTTACTCGAATCGTGTTGAGCTCCCTTAACCAAATGAGCTTCATCAGTAGAATCTTTTCCCATTCCCTGCTTGTTTGTAGAAGAGTGGAAACTTCCTTTTCCTTCCTCAGACGGGTATCTTTCTTTTCTACTTTCGTGTGCCCTACTCAGTGCTTGGCGGTATGATTTAAAAAAAAATGACAGTACTTGCGGGGGGGGGACGCG